CTGGTGGCCGCTTTGCGCTGGAGGTTTTCCCGGCATCCATCTGCGCCTGGGGACACAGAGAAGGAGAAAGCGGTGATCCCCATGGCCAGAGCTTCTGCCACCCCACACCGACCGCCCTCTCTCCATGCTGCGCCTAGGCAAGCAGGGAGCTGGGGGGGGGGGGGGGGGGGACGTGCAGAGCTGGGAGCGGCATGGCTTCACCTCAGCTGCCCAAGGGCTGCTCCCACCTCGGCGCAGGCAGGGAAGAGGCAGGCAGGGGAACCTCTGCCCATGATGGAGTCCCCCAGGTGCAGTGCAGCGGGGGCTGCCTGTGCCATACAGCTCTCACCCCCCACCGCTGCCCTCCAAACTACCACTTTTGAGTGGCTATGGAGACAGCAGTCACTGCTGCCTGTCCCTGCCACCCCTGCATGACCCCAGACGGCAGAGCAGACGAATGCAAGGCCCCTTCCCCTCCCGCAGACATCCTCTCCAGCCCAGCCGCAGCCCCGCTGCTGGGTTTCTGGGGTCACAAGGATGAATGCGAAGGGCTTTGTCTGCAGGAGTCAGAGGAGTGTCTCCCTGTACCCCTTAGGCTAGAGAGGGCCTGCAACCCACAACTGTCCTGGCAGCCTGGCAGCCCCTCGCCCTGCATCGATGCATTCCAGCCTCTCCGGCCCCCTGCCCTCTCCCTTGGGCCGCACCGCAGGGGGCCTGGCCATGGCTGCCCTTGGGGCTCCTTGCACACAGCCTTTTGTGCCGGGCCTGGAGCAATGAATGGATGGAAGCCCCAGCAAAATGCTGAGCCCCTAGCCCTGGGGTTAGAAGCCATGCACCCCCAAGCATGCCCCCCCAACACATGCACCCTCACACAGCCCCATCCAGCTCTTCCCCCTTCAGTCAGCTGCATGAGGGACTGCTGCTGCCCCCCAGCAACAGCTCGCTGTGCCTCCCGCGGCCACCAAAACCACTTACCCGGGGGGCCAAACTGCGGCCAGCCCCATCCGAGCCCCCTCCTCGCACGCCCCAGCACCCACACTCTGGAGCCCATGGCACTGGGGGAGTTTCCCCTCTCCCGGGGGACCACCACTGGCAGGGCAACGGCGGCACGGCCAGGTGGGTCAGTAGCAGGCGGGTTCACGCCATGCAGCCACTCTGCCCGGCATGCAGCCTCCCCTGGGGACGTTACCTCTTCCACCGGCTGGCGAGGCGGCTTTCTCTTTCTCTTTAAACTACCCCAAGTGTTTCCTAAAAGCCCCTGGCAACGCTTCCAAAAGGTTTTACAGCCTGAGGGTTTAGTGGCAGGGAGCTGAGCGGGGGGAGAGAGAGACACAGAAAGAGTTGAGGGCAGAGTGGGCGAGGAGCCACAGCAGGAGAGCGCAGGCAAAGGAGGTGGCGCAAGCTGGTCCTCAGCCCTCAGGCATTGCTTGGCATCAGCACAGCCAAAGATCCCTCTCCTGAGACTGACACGGCCCCAAAAGTTCGCTTCGAAATGGCCTGGGGGAGTCCCAGCATGGGGGCTACCCCGCAGCCCTCAAAGCCTCCCGGTCTGCATGGGGGCACAGCTCCGGGGAACTGCCCTGGCTGCACGGCAGTGGCCGGCCCTGGGACAGGCACTGGGTGCTCACCCATGGCTCTGCCGAAGCCGCCTACCGTCCCCCACATACCGTCCGCAGCGCCTCCTCCCCTGGCCGCTCGCTGCCGGCCACCGGCTGTGCCTTCTTCTTCTCGCCCTTCTTGCCAATGCTGAGGATGAGGTTGACCGTCCCCCCCAGCCCGCTGGGGCCCCGTGGCGGCAGCAGCAGTGTGGAGGTCTCAGCGGGATCCCAGATGACAGCCTCCTCAGGGGGTCCTGCACCGTGGGGTGTTGAGCTGCTGGGCTCCTCCCAGCTCCGCTCCACTCCTGATGGGGCATCTGAGAGGGGCGATGCCAGTGGGGAGATGGCCGTTCCTGCTAGCAGCTGTGGCTCTGATCTTTGCACAGGCTGGAGGAGGGAGCAGGGTGTGAACTCCACTGGGCTGTGGATGCTCTCCAGCTGGGGCTGAGCACACAGGGCATGCTGCTCCTGGGGAGCGAGGCAAGAGAGGGAACGTGGAGGAAGGACTGCCAGGGCCAGGCACTTTCTCAGGACAATCTTCCCTTTGTCCTGCCTGAATGCCAGAGAGTCGCAGAGGTATTGGCACACATCCCTCCCCTACTTCTGCACCACCCACTCCATCCAGTGCCTCTGCTACCCTCAGCCTTGAGGCCAGTCCTGTTCCCCAACAGTCTCAACGTGGCTGGGTACTCACTTGGCTGGTGGGGGACGTGCCCGAGGGGCTCTCTGGGTCCCTTCTGTCCTCCTGCTTGCTCCCTGGGTCCCGCTGGTGCCTCTGTGCTCGCCAGCGCACCAGCACCCAGCCCAGCATGCTCTGCAGCTCCTCCAAGCGCTCCTTTATCTGAGGGGAGGAGAGATGCTGGGCAGCCTACAAGGACTCCTGGCCCATGGACACTGGCCCTACCAGGACACCTCACTAGGGAGCAGTTTAGGAGGTTTTTGGGACCGGGATACAGTCAGTCACATCACCTCAGGTCTCAGCATCCATTGCCGAGTGAAACCCCTTCCTGTCCTGAGCAGCCCCAGGGATGCATGGCTGGCCCTGTACCACTTGCTGGGGTTCAGCACCCGCACCTTGCTCTCTCCTCCAGGGATTGTCCCCAGAGGATTTCAGGGGGTGCTGAGGGTTTCCCCGACCCCATTCCCCCCATCCTTACTGTTGCGCTCAGGTAGTGCTCCTCAGACACCAGCTGCTGCCCCACCGCCGCCAGCGCCTCAAACTCCTTGAGCTTCCCTTCAATCCTCCTCTCCAGCTCCTCACATGGAGTCTCCGGGAGGCCATGGCTGCTTGGGCTTTCAGAGAAGATCTGAGCCCGTGTGTCCTCCGTCCAGGAGCTGTGGGCACGTGAAAGATGGGCTGAGGGGCCTGAGGAATGATCCAACCCCTCCTCAGCCCTGCAGGCCCCAGGGAAGCCATTCCCATGCTCAGGGATGGCTGGAAGCAGCTCGCTGGGGTAGCAGCAAGCCTGGCAGGGCAGCACAAGATGCCATGGAGCTGCCCCACAGCAGGCAGCCCTGGCGCAGCCCTTCATTCCAGGCTCCCCATGGTCTTGCCTGGCTGCAGCTCCAGCACTGCCCACGTACTCGCCAGCAGCCCATGCTCCGGCAATGCCATGCTCTCATCAGCTCCCCCGCAACCACCACAGAGGCAACCCTGATGGCTCATCACCACTTACATCATCGCTAAATAATCCTTGAAGAAATGCCACAGCCGGCCAGCCTGCTGCACACGGGCCCGGGTCTCCCGCAGCAGCTCCCGCAGCCCTGCCCAGGCACACAGCGTCCCCTGCACCTCCCGGCTGACAGGGCACAGCCGAGCAGGGCAGAGCTCTTGCAAGCGGGCAGCTGCCCTCTCCAGCTCCTCCAGCTGCCCCTGCAGGGTCTCCGACACTGCACACTAAAGGTCACAAGGCAGAAAAGGTTCAGGATGCATCCAACCCCTCTGCGCCCAGGCTGGACTCCCCTGCGTTCTGGGATGCAGAGATGGAGGGGAGGATGCAGAGATGGAGGGGAGGATGCACAGGGGCTGCAGGGAGCAGATGCAGAGATGGAGGATGCAGAGATGGAGGGGAGGGTGCACAGGGGCTGCAGGGAGCAGGCAGAGCCACCCTCGGCGGGGAGGATGGGCAGAGCAGAGGGCTGCCTGGTTTCCCCACTCTGCTCGCGTGAGTCACCTCCCCACCGTCGGGAAGATGAGCGAGGTGCTGGCAGCCGGGTGCTGGCACACAGGAGCTGACGCAAGCTCTCCCCGTGCGCCTGGCCCGTGCTGGCAGAGGGGAGCGGAGCGGGGCAGGGCTCAGCTCTGCTGGAAAATTCCAGTCCGGCCCGCTGCGGCGTGCCAAGGCTTACAACACCTGGGCCCCCGGGGGCCAGCACCTCCCTGGGATGGCCCCAGTCAGCCGGGACACCTCCCCGCCACGGGCATGGCCAGCCACAGTGCTCCCCAGGTCTCACCTCCATCTCCTGCTGCCGGCTCAGCAAGCCCTGCAGCCCCTGGAGGTCCTTCTCGCTCTTCACCGTGGTGAAGCTGCTCTCTGCTTGAGCAGTGTCGCGAGCCAGTGCCTCGGCTCTGCAGCGAAGGGCCTCCAGGCGCGGGGACACCTCTGCCACCTGGATGGGTGGGGGGAAGAGAGATGAGCCCCGGCGTGGGACCCCCTGTGCCACCACTTGCCACACGGCCCCAGCCCACTCCAGCTTGGGGGCACCCTGCCATGCGCCTGCAAAAGGGCAGGGAGCCCCAATGCGCCTGCGGCAGGGAGCCCCAGCCATGCCATGCGCGGGCAGGGAGCACCAGGCATGGGAGGGACAGGGATACCAGGATACCAGGCGCTCTGCTTGACCAGTGTCGCGAGCCAGTGCCTCGGCTCTGCAGCGAAGGGCCTCCAGGCGCGGGGACACCTCTGCCACCTGGATGGGTGGGGGGAAGAGAGATGAGCCCCGGCGTGGGACCCCCTGTGCCACCACTTGCCACACGGCCCCAGCCCACTCCAGCTTGGGGGCACCCTGCCATGCGCCTGCAAAAGGGCAGGGAGCACCAGCCATGGGAGGGACAGGGATACCAGCCTCGCACAGAGCAGTCCCCATGTATCCCAACGCCCTTGTGTCCCACTGGGACCAGCCAATGCGCATGCCCTGTCCCAACTAGCTGGCATGCCCAGCTGCAGGTGGACCACCCGGCTACATCCCCAGACCCCCCGCCTCCATCCCCTACCAGGCGCTCCAGGCTCTCCGTCTCTGCTGCCACCTCCATGACCCGCTCCCGCTCCTTCGCTGCATCGTTCAGCATCTCCACAGCCTCCTGCAGCTCTCCCAAGGGGCAGCTCATGTCCTTGCTGCTTGGCAGCTGCCCGGCCTGGGCCGAGAGCAGGGGAAAAGACCCCTGCAAGCCACAATGCCCACTCCCTGGCTGAAGCCAACAGAAACACCAGGCATGAGGGAGATGGGGAGCGTCCCCCCAGGCAGCTGGGCCAGAGGGGGGCACCCACAGGGTCCCCCTGCCAGCCACAGACCAACCCTTGGGCCAGTCCCAGGTGCTGGGCAATCCCGAGGGACGCCTAGCTCCACTGCTCACCGCTGCAGGTCCCTGCCGGCTCCGCGCGTCCTCCTCTTGCAGGTCCTGCAGGAACTCAGACAACACCAGGGAGTCACGCAGGTCTGCTGCCCGGCGCCGCAGGGCTGCCTGCACATGTGCCAACCTGTGGGGACAGGTGCCAGCACCCTCCACACCTCCTCGAGGCGAGCATCCTCCTCCTTGCACCTCCTCGGGTGCCTCCTCGCACCTCCTCAGGGCAAGAATCCTCCTCCCTGCCCACCCCGGGGGACCAGAGAGGAGGAACCTTCCCCCACGACTCACTTCTCCTCCACCATCTCCACCTTCCTCTGCATCTTCCTCGCCCCCTCGTGCTCAGCGGGTGTCTCGCCCGCCGCCTCCTCCCGCAGTGCCTGAAGCTTGAGGCCACACAGCAGGAGCTGCCTCTCCAGCTGTCCCGTCTCCTCCAGGTCCCGACGCAGCTCCGCTGGGCTTCTCATAGTGGCTGGCTCTGAGAGTGACCCGGCCACAGCTTGCAGCCACCGCTCGGCCTCGTCCAGCTCCCCCACCAGCCTCAGTGCCTGCAGGGAGAGCACGGAGCCCATAAGCCTGGCTCTGAGCCACCCAGGGGAGGCAGGAGCCACGCTGCCACCCCACTGTGGGTACCTAGGGCACCGGCAGCTTGGGCAGCACAGTTGGAGCAGCGCGTGGGCTGCGAAGCCAGCTGGAGATGTCAGTGCCAACGCTGCAGCTCCCATCCCTATGGGCACCAGCCTTGCTTGCCGATCCCCAGCAAGCTGGGGCATGCCCCTGTGTCCACCCCAGCCCTGCCTCCACATACCTTATCGATTTCCCGCAGCACGGCGCCGTTCTCCTGGTGCTTCCTCTGCAGGTCCTCCCACAGCTCCCCCAGCTCCCGCAGCATGGCCTCCACCTGCGGGCTCCTCAGGGGTCCCCCTGGCACCAGCCCCTCCTGGAAGGCAGGGAGGGCAGTTAAGACAGGCCCTGCCTGGTGTAGACCCCACCCCACACCCCAGGGGGCTCACCAGGAGCACAGCCCTGGCACTGGAGCTGGCATCCAGGGGCTCCCACTGTATCCGTGCTGCCTCCAGGCTCTCCACGTCCCCCACCAGACATGGGGGGACTCCAGGACCCCCACTCTCCTTGTGTGGGGACACAGTCTGCCAAGGAGCAGGGAGACATGGTGCATTAGTGCCCATTAGACCAGGGACAGGTGTGAGTGCACAAGTGTGCATGCCCACGAGCAGCGGGAGGGGGTCAGGGAAAGGGTCCCCCTTGACACTGGCTCCTCTGGCTGGGCTGGGAGCAAAGGGGGGTCTTGGGGAGACATTACTGCATTCACTGCCTGATAGACGTCCTGCACCTGGGCCTCCGGCTGCTGCATCCCCCACTCAGCCTCTGCCTCTCTCCTCCTCCTGCAGGGAGGGGGACAGTCAGGACTGCAAGGTCCCCCCTTGCACAGGGAACTCCCATCCCTGTCCCCTCTGACTCCATCCCACTCCCCACAGCCACCTCCACAAGCCAGTACCTTTTGCTGTCCCTGCCATGAGGGGGCTGCCCCGCCGCTGGGGAGCCAGGGCTGCTCTCCTCCCCTCTCTCGTGCTCCGCCATCTTCCCTGGCACATCCTTTGGCACCTACGGCACAAAGGCTCCCATTCCTCCTTTGCCAGCCAAAGTGTGCGTCGCTTTGCCCCGGGCCTGGCACTTATCACCTCCCATAAGCAGTGGGGCCAGGTCACAGGTGTGCTCAGCTTGGGCTTCGCCCAACACCCGAACCCCTTCCCACAAGCTCCCCCATCTTCCCAAGGCAGAGGCGCTGGAGATGCCTGGAGGAAGGCAGACACCTGTGCTCACCATGCTCCTGGGGCCTCTTGTCCATTTGTCTCCTGCTTCCTTCCCCACAGCCCCACGGCTGCTATCGTCTCCTCGGGGCTCAGTGCTTGGAGCTGCAGCTTCGCCCCCTGGGGAACCGCTCGCCAGCACCGGAGCCTTCTCTGTCCTGGGAAAGGGGTGCGAGGGAGGCCCAGGGGAGCAGAGGATGAAGAGAGACCTTAAGAGCTGGTGCCTCAGAGACAGCCTGCCAGGTTGTCTAACCAGGCCTTTCCCCAGACTTCTGGCTCCAGTGCTGGGGGGTCAGGGTTGGGGCCCTGGGGCTCCTGCTGGGCTGTGCCCTACCTCAGCACCTGCTGGAGCTGTGCCCAGCTCTCCTTGACATCTCGGTGCTTGGGGGTAACTCGGGCTGCCAGGCTGGGCTGCAGGCTGAGGAGCTGGGACACAGTCACATCCAGCATCTGGAGGAGAGAGAGCAGCCAGGGAGCAATGACAGGGCTGGCGAGGAACGAGCCACTACAGCCGTGGTGCGAGTGCGTGATGGCAACCCACCACCAGCTCTGCGGGAGCAGGAAAGGTGGTGGGTGCCAAGCCTGGTCCCCTGCAGCCCCTGGGGAGGCTCCCCTGTCCATCACACAGCCCCGGCCACCCCACATGGCTGTGGGGTGCCCACCGAGCCCCCAGCCCTGCTGGTGCCAGTGCTGACCCAGGAAGGCACACAAGCCCCCCTCTGCCGGGATGCTCCCCGGGGCTCAGAGAACGAGGCAGAGCCTTGCACTTACCATCACCTGGCTGGCTATGTCCCTGACGTCCCGATCCTGGCCTGGCTCGCCCTCTCCTGGCTTCCCCATACCGCAGATGCTCCTCTGCTGTAAGAAGAAGCTGCATTCAGTGGCAGGAGGAGGACGGGGCCCTGCCCTCAGCTCCAGCAGAAAGGGACGCCGCAAAGCTGAGCTTGCTGCTCTGGCTCCCCATCTTACATCAGGCTCTGTCCCCCAGCTCTCTCCCCGAGCCCCAGGCTGAGGGTGCTGGGACCACAGCAGCCCCCATGCAGGGGACAAGAGCGAGGTGCTGCCCGCCTAGTTTCACTCTAGCCATGCGACAGCCCCGCACCAGGCTGACCCTGGCTGCAGTGCAGGTACCTTGGCGTGGATGGTCCCGAGCAGGGTATCCGCTTGCTGGAGGAAGGCAGCTACCTCCAGGGCCAGCTGCAGAGCCTCGTGGTGCTCCTTAAGGGTCCCCTGCAGCCGCAGCCACCTGCGTGGGTGGAAGGGGAGAGGTGAAGGGCAGCCTGTGCCCCCCTAGGGAGCCGTGCAGAGGTGGGGCGAGGGGAAGCAGGCGGGAGGTTTGGGGGGTCCTGCTTCCTAGCCTGTCAGCTCCCTGCGCCTGGCTCGCCCCTGCTCAGCCCATGTGTCCTCCACTCACGTTTTGTTGAGGTGCTTGCGCCGGGCTGAGATGCTCCTGCTCTCACTTTTGCCTTGTTTCTCCAGCTTCTGGGCCAGGCTGTTCAGCTCCTCGTGCAGACTCTGGAACTGCTGCTCCTCCTGGCCCAAGCAGAGAGCCGGACGTCAGCATCCCCTGGCCATCCCTCCTGCCCCCCTCTCAGGGACCTGCGCCATGCCCCAGCCTTGGGACCCCAGGGCTGGTGGGGTTCAGGGTTACTGGCACGCCAGCAGTGCCCCAGCAACCTCTTACCTGCTTCAAGTCAAGGATGCGGCGGGTGAGCTGGATCTTGTCTGGGCTTTCCTGCAGGAGGGCTGCCAGGGAGGGCTTCTCCTCCTGGACCAGGGGAGGGTATGAGAAGGCGGGGGGGCAGCCAGGCTGTGCCCCTCCCCAGACCGCACTCCCCGCACCCCACACCTTGTGCCTGATCCATGCCTCCAGCTGCTCGGCTTTCCTGTTGAAGTCCTGCAGGCTCCGCAGCACCCCCAGGGCTTTGCTCTGGCTGGCGGCCGTCTGCTTCAGGAGCTGCCACTGGTCCCGCAGGGCCAGCAGCTGCCTCCGCACCCCCTCGGCGCTGGGGCTCACCCGACACATCAGCTGCTCACCCATCTGTGGGGCCAAGAGACCCGCTCAGCATCAGGGGCTCCCAGGGACCCCCCACTGCGGAGAGCCCGGGGACACGGGTGCTGCAGGGAATGGGAGACGTGCTGCTGCCCAGCCTCACCTGGTTGAGCTTTATCAGCGTGTTCTCGAAATCCTTCATGTCCCGCTGCAGGGTCTGAGCCACCTCCTCCCAGTCCTGGAGGTCGCAGCCATCCTTCAGGTCCCGCAACTTGCCTCGCACCCAGCCCTCTGCCTGCAAGGTGGCAAGAGCCACGTGGCCAGGTGCCTCTTCCAGAGTCCTGAGGATGTGGCTTCGAGGACCCAAGCCCAAACCCCCTCAAAGCCACAACAGGGACCAGAGGGCACCCTTTCGGCTGACAACCTGTTTGCTCTGAGCGAGAACAGGCCAGCAAAGGGGGTCAGAATGGCGACAGCGGCAATGGGGGCAGAAAGGCGAGCAGCATCTCGCTTCTTTCCAGCATCTGCCTGCCCCAGCCCAGCAGGAAAAGCTGGGTCCCCCCAGGCAGGCCAGACTGGGGGTCTCTGCGTGGGACACCCCTGCATGAAGCATCTCCTCTCCCCGTGCTCGGCTCCCCTGTGCAAGCACCCATGCGCCCTCCCCAGCACGGTGTGGAAGCAGCCCCCCCCACACCATCCCCATTCCCACGGTGCTGGGGAGGGACAGGGGCTGGGAGGAGGAGGATGGGGGACGGGAGGAGCATGCGCACATGGGGAGGAAGCAGGGCCCTGGTGCGGGCTGACCCCCTCTCCCCGGGGCCGGGAGCCAGGGAGAGGCGGCCAAACATGATCTCATGCCACAACCATGGCTTCGCTCAGGGCCGGGAGTTCAGCCCTCCCCGCTGTGCACCCCACCCCACAGCTCACATGAAAGGCTGCCGGTGGCCCCCCTGCCCCCTCCACACGCAGGCCCTTTGGCAGGCGCCCCAGCTGGCCTCACCTGCAGCATCTCCCTGTTGAACTGGGCTACCAGAGGGCTCAGGTTGAGGAGGGGGGACACTCCCGCGCTGCTTTGCCCACCACATCTCAGTGCCACTGTGGGCTCCTTGCCCTTGGGGCTCTCTTTCCGGGGCGATGACACCGGCGGTCCTGCCAGCTACGCCGGCGAGGTCCTGCCATAGGGTGGGCAGAGGTGGGGGGGGTCAGCACGCTGCCCCAGGGAGCCCTCCCCATCACCTCCCAGGAGCTTTTCGGAAGCCCAAGTAAAGTATGTCAGCCTGCCTCATCCCCGATCCCACTGATTCACTGACATATTTGGGGTTCTCTCCCAGCACCCCGAGGCACAGCTCCCCTCTCCCAAGGCTGCACCGGTGGCTTTCACAGCCCTGGCAGAGGGTTGCCAGGCTGTCCCTCAGCCCTGGGTCACTGCCAGCTGGCAGGCTGGCACCCAGCACTGTGCCCACTTTGGAGGCGGATGTGGCGCTTGCTGCCCCTCCAGCCTGAGGCTGTGCATCCCTGCAAGGAGCATTCTTGTCTGCGGCATCTATTTGGTGTCACCCCAGGGGACACTGCCAGGGGATGGAATGGGGAGGCCATGGGGCAGGTCCCTGACGAGCTCAGTCTGCCACTCCTTCAGGGGCACCCGGAGACCCCCACCCCAAGTGAGTGGTGGCAGAGGGCAGGAAGCACAGCATCTCCCCCGGGGCTCGGCTTCGCGGGCGGCCGGTGCTGACGAAATGCTCTTTCAGGGCTCCAGCTCCGCCGGGGGTGATGACAAAGGTCAGCCAGCGAAAGCGCTGGCCCCCCTCCAAGCTCAGCCCCAGGCCCAGCTGCATGCAGCCCAGGAGACAGCACAGCCGCCTGGGCACCCGCTTCCCACCCC